ATGAAAAAAGAAGTGTAATAATGGGAGTAATAATTGGCAAGATTTTCATAATAATATATATTATTTCATAGGAATATTGAAATATAATTTCTCTCCCTATTCATTTGTTGTGTCTCCCAAAATGCGTAATAAATATGCTTTTAGTCCCGGTGTCCTCATATGAGGACATGTATGAAATCAACCTCCTGTTTCGTAACAGAAAGTCATATTTTGATTTGAAACCCCATAACATTTTCCTGAGATATTGATTTATGACACATAGTTTAAAAATTAGTAAGATTTAAATGATAATTACAGAATATTATCATATTTCCATAAGAGTGCCACTAAATTAATATCAGACATTTTTGGTGAAACATGGTGAAACATCCAAAAATTTAGTATCTCTGAAAAGCCCTGAATGTGGCTTAAAACTGTGGCATGTATAGTCTCAGAGAAATTCACTAAAATATAATGTCCTTATATGAGGATGCAGGGTCTCAGGAGGATAAAGTCCAATTCTGAGGGGGAAAAAGATTGATATTTTCTCAGAATTGCAACTTTATATCTCACAATTCTGAGAAAAAAGTGAGTAAAAGACACTAAAACTTGCAATTGCGAGTTTATATCATGCAATTCTGAGAAAAAAAAGTCAGAATTCTGAGAAAAAAGTGAGAAAAAGACACTATAACTTGCAATTGCGAGTTTATATCACGCAATTCTGAGAAAAAAAAGTCCGAATTGTGAGATAAAAAGTCGCAATTACCTTTTTAAATTTTTATTCAGTGGCAGAAACGGGCTTCCATACTTCAGATTTGTGGCTTGTCAAACCATATTAATAAACTAACACTTGTAGCCATTTTAAAATAGCTGATATATATATATATATAAAATTGACCACACATCAGAATTCTACTGTCGTCATCGGATTGGTTGAATTATTCAGGATTTCCGGGAGAAATTGTGTGTGTCGTGTTCTTTAACGTTCCGCCTGGAAACAAAGATGCCGTGACGCCGAACCCCCTCACGAAAGAAGAAAGCCGTCGTATTTACAACTGTGACGACGAGCGCTTATCAGGATCAACTAAACACTGGATTTTCAAAAGTATGTGAAAAATTTAAAATTCGCTGTTAAACAACAAGATCCTAGGAGTATAAACTGACCTTAAGATCTCGAGAGTCATGGGAGAAAGACGGGTGCTCTGGAGAGGGCCTGATTTTAATTACGATGCATTCTTATACTTGACTTCTGTTGGCAAGATAAGCTCACTGGGTTTTTGTTTTAAACCTGCTGCCTCTTTCTTCATACCCACCGTCAGGTAACACATTCAGGTCAATTATAATGTCGCTTTGCCCAGGCCGGAGGGAAACCGGACAAGCAGAGTGATATGTGTGTTACTAGGCAACCATTGAGCGTGTGTCCTTGAGCATCTTAAAGCCCACCACAGATTGCTCTATAATCACATTAATCCCTCGTTCTTATGCAGCATTTCAGGAGGTTTTAACTTCATAATGACCAATATTGTTTGTGTTCTCAGATGTGTTTGCGTAAATAAGCCGCAGTCAAAAGCAGCTCTCCAGAAACACTAAACACTAAAGAGGAACGCTTTAGTGTTAGATCACATTTGTGTGTTTGTGGATTTTCTTGGACTTTGAAAGTGCCTTTAAAGTGTCATGACAGCCACACACACTTTGAGATCAGGTCGGATTTGTTTTTAGATCTTACAGCAAACACGGAATGCTCATATACTCTGTATGTGTACAGTGTGTGTGTGTGTGTGTGTGTGTGTGTACAGTTGTGGTCAAAAGTTTACATACACCTTGCAGAATCTGCAAAATGTTAATTATTTTAACAAAATAAGAGGGATCATGCAAAATGCATGTAATGAGTACTTTTTAAATAAAATATCGTACATAAAAGATCTTCACAAGACAAAATAGCTGAATTTATAAAAATAACCCCGTTCAAAAGTTTACATACATTTGGTTCTTAATACTGTGTGTTGTTACCTATGATCCGTGTGTGTGTTTTGTGATGTTGTTCATGAGTCCCTTGATTGTCCTGAAGAGTTAAACTGCCCGCTGTTCTTCAGAAAAATCCTCCAGGTCCCACAGATGCTTTGGTTATCTATCTTTTCACACTGAGGGACTCATATGCTATTACAAAACTATTACAGCTGTTACAAAATGTAAAAAAATTCACTGATGCTACAGAGGAAAACACGATGCATTAAGTGCCAAGGTGTACATTTTTCTTATTTTGTTTAAATATAATATTTTTTCATTTAGTACTGCCTGTCAGAAGCAGACCACCTGTCATAATAAACACAAATATTTTAGGAATCTGTCAAAAACTAATTTTAAAAAATGATTGTCATTTATTAGGAAAATAACAAACAACTAAATAGTCTAAATATGGGCATCTAAATTTAAAACAATTTTTTGCTTTACTATTTTTCTGCCTTTCTTGTAAAACAGTAAAATTGAAAATTCATGGATAACAATAATAATTATATTTTAGCATAAGTGACTAAAGAGCTTACATATACTGGTGGATAAACCATTACAAACATAAAAAATGATTTTGGTAACCACCAATACTGTTGGTTTAGGGCAGCTGTGGCATAAACCTTACACTGGGTGGTGGTGGTCTAATAAATTTTTTAAGCACTGTATATACATTATATAAAAAAGGTAATTTTTTCCCTTTTTTAATGAATTACAGACAACATAAGTATTCATAGGGGTGTTTACCAATTATGAAGCTCCAATGCATGTTCCCTGCAGAAAAAATACTGTGAAGGTCTGTTTGGAGTCTGTGTGTCAGCGTTTGGCTGATGTCTGTGCTGTGTTTGGCTCATCTGCAGCTCTGCTCACATGCCGGCCTGATGAGTTCCAGTGTGGAGACGGATCCTGCATCCATGGCATCAAACAGTGCAACAAAATACATGACTGCCTCGACAAAAGCGACGAGGCTGGCTGTGTCAATGGTACGTCTTAGCGTGTATGTGTGTGTGTGTGTGTGTGTGTGTGTGTGTGTGTGTGTGTGTGTATGTGTATGTGTGTGCACTTCTTTGCACAAATCTTTTGTGCTGCTTATTCAGCAGGGTGAAATGTATCCCAGAGATTGGTTCCGGCCTTTAATACGACACCCTTCAAAGTTTAATGAGTGCAGACCTGTCTGTCCATTGCAGAAGCGTGTCCTACTGTGTCTAAGCAGTAATAAGCTTTCATGTGTGGAAATAAATTGGCCAATCCTTTTGAAAGTGGCTTTTATATGGAAGACGTGCAGAGACTTCACCTAAACTGCCCACGTCTGTTAAATCACCAGTCTGTATCTGTGCACGAAAGACCTCTGAGTATTTGTGCTTATGTGGGAGGAAACAAGGCTAAACTGAAATTAACTTAACAAATCAGCAGCAGCATGTTCTGTAAGCATCTTTTGCCTTTTATTTCCCTCTCATGCTTTAGCCACAAAGTGTGAAGGACCTCTGAAGTTCCTCTGCAGGAATGGGGAATGCATAGACGGGAGCAAGGTGTGTGACAACGTGAAAGACTGCAAGGATCGGTCAGACGAACCCAAGAAGGAGTGCAGTAAGAAAACTGTTTGTTGATATACAGGAAGAATAGAGAGCTGCAAACGGAATGTGGATAGTTTAGCTCAGATTATTTGGTCTTAGAAGAGACTTAGAGTTTACACTGAAATCTTTGACTTTTGATTGCACATCTGAGACATTTTAAGTTCTCTTCTGAAAATATTTTGAAATGAGTAAAGTATAAAGTATAGTTCAGTGTTGACGTGAATAATTTGCCTGTGCGAAAAATCGAATGCATAACTTTTTTAAGTCCCTCTGCAGCCAAAAATGTTATCCTTTAAAACTTATCTTTGATAATCAAAATGACATATTTGAGTGTTTTTCCCATGGCAATAATTTATTCATGTCTTAAAATGACTTGAATGTAACTCCACAACACATTAAGTATATGCAGACTCATGAATATGCTAATTAGTCCCCGCCACCATTCAAACCAGCTCAGACCTGCGCCACTTTCACTCAGTTAAGAGAAGTAGTAAACGCTATTCAATGCCAAGTGGAAATATTGTCTAAATGGTTACCGCTATGTCATTCATTGCCATTTCGAGAATGAATCCATGAGATATAATCACTAAAATGATGTCACTCATCTCAGTTCATCGCTATCTCACAAAGTTCCGTTATAATCAATGAAGCTCTAAACTGCTCAATGAATCTCTTATTTACATTGTGGCAACACTTTGTTATAATGAGAGGATTCGCGAATGTGCAGAACTCAGCACTGAACAAAACTCTGGCGATTTGAGCAGTGAGTGGATTTGATTGACCGTGGCGTTCAAGACATCAACAGATATGTCTGTGATTGGCTACAATGCTCAATGCTCAGTGCTCCAAAAATATGTTGTAAATAGAAACCTGTGACCAGATATGAAAAGCCCTGCCCCACACATTGATGGGACTGGTTACATGTTTGTGACGGCAGGAAACAGGGACAGTTTCAAACCATGTTTTTGAGTCTTTGATACACCGCAGTTTAACCCTCAAAGACCGAGACAGCCGCCCGCGGCTAAAAATATCTATTGTTCGTAAATGTTTAATAACTTTTGAACCACTAATCCTATCTGAATGCTTTAAAAAGTGTCGAGAGATTCTCCGCTTTTCGGAGATATCGCATTTGTCTCATTTGGATATTCAGAGGCTCCGTAGCGTACGTGATTACGTCATCACATTTTGACAACATTGATTCGTCAGAAGAAACCAATGCATTTCGTCCTCTGAGCCAAACAGGAACGATTGTTGATGCTTAGTCCCACCCCCGTGACCAGATTGGTTCAAACTTTCACATATTCAACCAATAAACATAAGTTCTGTCAGGACCACTATCGTCAAAATGATAGACACTTAGCATAAGGTTTGGTTTGGCGGTATGGTTCTGTTCTGGGCAAAAAACCTCCCTGCCCATCCATGCAGCCTGTCATGAATGAGCAGGGAGAGCAGCAATAATAACCCCCCCAGGGTTAACAGAACAGAACAAGGCACATATCATTAATGTACTCAATGATATTTAAGTTTCAATACCCGAAGTTTAGGCAACAGCATGTTGCCATATCCTGATAATCGTTAGCATTTAATAACACCTTTAGTAGCCAGATACAACTTTCTAAAGAAAAAAAAATCCAAACTTCAGGTGTTTTTTTTTGAGTACACAGTAAAAAAAACACTCAATTATTGCTTGCATTTTTCTTAAAATTCTGGAAATTCATTAAAGAAACCAAAGGGAAAATTGCGACTTAAAATTAGCTAGACTGAAACTTCAAGTGCTCCTGTTTATAATGATATATGACACTTGATGCTCACTGCTACAATAGGTCTGAAAAAACAAAGAAAATTACAGGTTTGTTAGGTGCCCCAAAAATGTTCTAGGTCTGGGTTAAAGAGGAAAATATAGAAATATACTATTGTAATGATAAAACTGTACTTTAAAATAAAAAAATGATTAATTATAATAATTTTATTCTACACAACATGTTACTATACTAAACTATTCACTTTCAAGTGTTAAACCATCAAGCTTTTTTTTAGCAGAAAACTGCAGGGAGATCTTTAATTGTGTTAGTTGACAGTGGTTTTATAAATGCTTCTTGTTACTGCTAAAATGCTGAAAATGGTCCACAAAAATGTTGGAAATTATACGAATGTAAAAATGAAGTGATCCCTATGCATGTTCCCAAATGCACGTTGTAAGCGACATGCAGAAATGGACTTCATGTGGAGCAACATTTACTGCTCCACAAAAAAATCTAAAAAACACTGTCTGTAAGAACCAGTTGAAATATTACAAGATCTTCTGCATAATCTCATTTATAATTGCTCTTTATTTCATTTTCAATAGGAGAGATGTGGTAAGCGGCAAAACGCGGGCAGTTTTGCTAGCGGCACGCAATCATAGAATATTTCACTGAGCTCATGTCGGAGTGTTGAAAACACGATGAAGATCATTTTAAATGTTATAGAATTCCCGAAGTTGTATGAGCCATCAAAAATCTCTTACAGATATATAACTAAACGAATCCAGAGCATGCGTGTATGTGTCAGTTTGCCAGTTAAAAATGCAATTACGTGTAAAATGTCAAAGTTAACTGCGTCTGACATGAAAACTATGCTAGTCCCATGAAATTATAAATAGCGAATAACACATAAGTTACAAAAGATCCGTTGTTTTATTTATTTAGCTTTTAGTATTTATAAATATGATGTTGTTTGCAACCACCGCCACGAAACCGCTTCACGAACAGCGTCTCTACTGCACAAATCACTTCCACTACGAGAGAAAGTGGCAACTGCGTGGTGATTTCACCGTTTGCCGCGTCCCTTTAGTGTTAGGGATTTGAAACCAGACATGAATGATAAATCAAATCATGTTGTTTATTGAAGAGAGGTGCATTCATATTTTTTTGACTTGATCCAGAATCAATCAAAAAATCACCTAAAAATCACTCAGGATTGTTTTGCGACTACATGGCAACATGCTAAAAAAGCCGAAATCAAATAGGTTACGTAGGAAGTTGCTGGAGCACCACTGAAGGTGCATCGTAATTTATATGGCAGAGAAAACAAGATTTTTTTTAATTCATTCTCACTTGCATATATCCCAGTACTATCTGGGGCAGAGCTGACGAATCGCCATCTTCTCAGAGAATCCATTAGCATCAAAGAGGAATGAAGACCTGCAGTGGTTGTTCTAGAGGCCTGAGTGGGTGTGTGTGTGTGTGTGTGTGTTTCCTCACCAAACCTGCACCCTTATCCTCTTCCCTCAAATGCCACGTTCACATTTTTTGCGACTACATGGCAACATGCTAAAAAAGCCGAAATCAAATAGGTTACGTAGGAAGTTGCTGGAGCACCACTGAAGGTGCATCGTAATTTATATGGCAGAGAAAACAAGATTTTTTTAAATTCATTCTCACTTGCATATATCCCAGTACTATCTGGGGCAGAGCTGACGAATCGCCATCTTCTCAGAGAATCCATTAGCATCAAAGAGGAATGAAGACCTGCAGTGGTTGTTCTAGAGGCCTGTGTGTGTGTGTGTGTTTCCTCACCAAACCTGCACCCTTATCCTCTTCCCTCAAATGCCACGTTCACCCACGTGCCGTAATAATCACCATCTCCAGAGAAAGGGCTCATAACGCCATCTTAATGCCCTCAGTGTCTTCTCCTTTAATCCCGAATCCTCTGCTGCTCGTTTGACATATGGCTGGCTCCGAGCGACGCGGCCCTGCCCCAAATTGTTCACTTCCATGGATTTTGTCAGGATGCCAGCACCTAATAATGAACACAGAGAGCTGGAGAGAACACCTGGTCCTCAAATGCTACCTTTTGAGAGAGCGCAGAAGAAAGAGAAAACACATTATTGCTCGTTTCTGGCCCACACAGCCATCTCCATTTTGCCTCATTAAATTATTGTCTGCAGAATGCTCAATATGTCTTGCTGCTCACTCGAGCTTTCAGACACAATATGTTCCTGGGATTCAACTGCAAACAATGCAACGCTAAATTCAACACACTGAGTCACAAGATGGCCTGAAAGTTGAAACATCATCTCGGCACTATTCTCTATAATATCACTCACACTCGCATGTGTTTTTAAAACGGACCCTTGGGAATGTAAATGAGGCCTGAAGATGGTAATTGTGTTGGGTTGTTATTGCGCTAATATAGTCAGCCACTCTCACTCACATAGATGAAGAATTTTATTTTCTTTGCCAGATGAAGGAAAAAGCTCATGGCTCATGTTTTCCAGTACAAGGAAGCGACAACGGTATTAAACAAGTGTAATTTTTATTATCTTATCTTTTATTTTATTATCTTGTATGTTGTGTAATTAAATATATTTGTAATGCACATTTATAATGATGAAGTTGCAATTTAGTACTTTCAAAATATATTAATTTCAATTGTAATATTGAATAAAGCACTACAGTTAAAATTAGATTATGAAAACATGATAATTTAAAATGTACTTAAGTGCACTTATGTATGTTAAAGTCATGAAAGAGTGCTTGTTTAAGTGGCCTTTTATTTCGTTATTAATACAATGCTAATACAGTTTTTCAAAAAGTAAACTTTTAAGATTTGAGGAACACTACAAGTGCATATTCAATACAATTAAATGCACTTCTTTCTTCTTCTTTTTTTTTTTACAAGGGATAAGCTGTTTTGCTTTAATACGAGGGAAACTTGTTTTTGTTAACATCAGTTGTGCATTAAATTGATATTTCTATTTAAAACATCACTTAGAGTATTTCCAAATTTTTGGAGGGCACTGTACCTTTCAACATCTACATTTTAAACCATCTCTTCTCTCTTTTGTAGGTTTGAATGAATGTTTGCTTAACAATGGAGGCTGCTCACACATCTGTGTGGATCGTCCCATTGGATACGAATGCCAGTGTCCTGCTGGCTATAAGCTCCTGGACAAGAGGACATGTGGAGGTCAGGCCTGGCTCAAAGATGAGATGATTTTGACAGTAAAAGTAAAACTGATTTAACTGAATTTTATACTGGGCAAGAACATGGGCCTTCAGCTTACAGGCACTGTGTTCTGTTCATGTACTAAACAGCTGAATCAAAACACATGGATAACACATGGTACATATGACTTTTGTATTAAACTAAGATCTCACAGTAAGAACTACATTTAAATGAGGTATGTTTAATCTAGTTTGGTCTTGATGTGCACAATGTGCCCTTTTTCAGTCTTTTGCTATATACTGTACGGTGTAGTGAGTGAGTGAGCATGTCTGCAGTCACGTGTGTCTGTTTACTCCACAGATATCGATGAGTGTGAGAACCCTGATGCCTGCAGTCAGATCTGCATTAATCTGAAAGGAGATTTCAAGTGTGAATGTCACCCGGGTTATGAGATGGACCCCGTAAGCAAGACCTGCAAAGCTGAGGGTGAGACATTCCTATAAAAAAACAGATGCTTATTATGATTTCTGACCTCAGCAGAGAATTGTGTTTTTTGTATCTTTATTATCCTTACAATTAAGGTCATTTCCAGGTTTATTTATGCTAGTTAGGTTCTTGTTAAACTAGTTGACCAGAACTCCAATGTTGTAGCATCCAGTATTTTTATTTTTTTCTGGTGAAGGAGTTTGGTTTGTTTGACAGAGGAGCACCTGCTGATTAAGCCACACACACACACACACACACACAGGTTTGTTTTTATGGTTCATGAGGAATCTCCATAGGCATAATGGTTTTTATACTGTACAAACTGTATTTTCTATTGCCCTACACCAACCCTACCCCTAAACCTACCCCTCGCAGGAAACTTTCTGCATTTTTAGATTTTCAAAAAAACTCATTCTGAATTAATTATAAGCCTTTTGAATTACGGGGACACTGAAGATGTCCTCATAAATCACCTTCTCGTTGTAATACCTATGTCATACCCATGTTATTATGCAAATTTGTGTCCTCATAAACCACATAAACAGGCACACACACACACACACACACACACACACACACACTGTATATCTGTGATGGACATGCTCTCTAGTATTTCCAATAAGCTGTCAGCTGAACACAAAGCTCAGAGAGAGAGAGAAGCCCCTTGAACAATAGAATTCCAGCTCATGCACTGTAAAAAGTAATCACTGAATTTACTTAAGAAAAGCGAGTAAACATAACTGATTTTTAAAAATTTGTTGAATTTACTTAATTACACTGTGTTATGTGAACTTTCAGGTGGATGCAATAGTTAAACTAAACAACTTTAGTAAACAGTACTTAAGAGCATCTAGTTTGTTGGATTAAATCCCACTATGTGCCCTAATAACTCTAGACCAGTAGGTGGCGGAAGTGCACCAATAGG